ATTGGACCAGGCGATCAACCAAATCAAACCGCAATCACAGGCCAACGGATTGTTCGATAAGTCCCTAAGCAATGCATACGTCAGATATTTCAGTTTCATATAGAAAAGCGAAAATAATGAAGAGAACTTACAGCTGCTTTAGTTTCGGCATCTGATCGAATGTTCCTTCATATATATGACTTATAGAATTGTTACCCAGACGCAAGCGCTCCACATTGGGCAGACTATTGCCAAAGCTGCGCTTGTCCAGTTCGGTGAGTAAATTTGATGATAGATCCAATCGTTTAAGTTCCGTAAAACTTTTGAAATCGTCTTCGCTTATGTGTGCAATTGCATTTTTACTGGCATTGCTGCAAGGTAAACCATAAATAACAATTGATTTATGGCCAAATGTATAAATATGCTTACATGCTGATTATGTTGTGGACATCGTCGCCAAAGTTTAACTCCCTCCAATTAACAATATGCAGTTCGTCGCAGCGAACGCGCAACGATTGAATATTCTCTGAAATATTCTTGCAGCTGCATTTACTGGGGCACATTGCCTGCACAACAAAGGTCGTTTGCGTGCAGAGCGCGACCAGGGCGCATAGCCACATTTGTGCAACGTTCATATTGTTGCTTATTTATGTAGTTGCATTTGTGGCGTCCATTTAATTAACAACACATTTACAAACAAATGCATAATAAACAAAAACAGCAAAAGTTACAACAAAAAAATTCAACCAGTATTGCTCTATGCACAGAATTTTCTATAATGCGGCGGTCTAATACTAAAAAATACCAAGGAATACTAACATATGTTATCGATAGTCGCATGTAAAATATTAAGTACTTTAACTGATTTTTATGCGACAAACTATATCTAACGACTTTCAAACGACAGTTGGAAGAAATCACTTAAATAATCATGTTTTATCATCAGTTTAATTGATTTTCGAGTGATGGTTACTTCATATATTTTTGTTAAGCCGGAGTGTATTCACTGGCTTTATGCTTCAAACAATGATGTATTATCAAAAAAAACAAAAAAACATCAAATCCTATTTGAATTATTTATGTTGTAGCTATTTTATTATATATTCATATCTATAAAAAACAACAAAATTTAAAGTGTGCAACGCACAAAAGGAAATTTAAATAAATAACTATACAAACATATTCAATTGATGGCACCAAATATTGCCAACATATACTATTATCTCTGTCTTGGGTGTGCACACACTTGTCTCGCGTATTGTTTTTATAAGAATTGACGTGTCAGATATATGAGTGTTAGCTTTATATAGACCATACCATATTGAACACGTCGTTTAGTTAAGCAGAAAGTGGATGGAGTTCTTGAAGAGTGGTATCAAGACCGTGCTGGGCGGCACTGAGCCGGGCCAGCAGCCCAGTGCAGCCGAAACAGTTGAAAAGCTCGTCGATCGAGTTTATTCGTCGACCCTACTCGAGGATCGCCGGGATGCATGCCGGGCCTTGAAAGCGCTCTCGCGGAAATATCGTATAGAGGTGGGTGCCCAGGGCATGCCACCTCTAGTCCAGGTACTGCAAAATGATGGCCAGGACGCTGAAATCATAAGCTATGCCCTGGACACGCTGTGCAACATTGTCACCAGCGAGGAGTTCGACGAGGAGGCTGACAATCCAGCTGTATCCGTGAATGTGGGCGAACAGTTCACCGAAATGTTCATCAAGAATCCCGATCATGTCACCCTCGTCATGGGCTATCTTGATGAATACGATTTTCGTGTTCGCCGAGGCGCCATCCAGTTGATCACGTCTCTGATTGCTAATAAGACACGCGAACTGCAGGAACTGGTGCTGGTCAGTCCCATGGGCGTGTCCAAGCTAATGGATCTGCTCACCGACAGTCGTGAAGTAATCAGGAACGATGTTCTCCTGCTCCTCATCGAGCTGACCAAAGGCAATTCCAACATACAGAAGATTGTGGCATTCGAGAATGCGTTCGATCGTCTGTTCGATATTGTGCGCGAGGAGGGCTGCTCGGACGGCGGCATTGTGGTCGAGGATTGTCTTATATTGCTGCTGAATCTACTCAAAAACAATTCCAGCAATCAGCAGTTCTTCAAGGAGGGCTCCTACATACAGCGACTGGCCCCAATGTTCTTGCTGAACAGCTCCAACGGCAGCTCGGATGCGGACGAGAGCGCCTGGACACCGCAAAAGGTCTCCAATTTCCACTGCATGCTGCAGGTAGTGCGGGCCCTGGTGACGCCCAGCAACCAGCAGCAGGTGGTCAGCGCGTGCCAGCGTGTAATGCAAAAATCACAATTGCTGCAGGCGCTCTGCGACATCCTCATGAGCAGCGGAGTGCCAGCGGACATACTGACGGAGACTATCAATACTGTGGCGGAGGTGGTGCGCGGAGATCGCGATAACCAGGACGAGCTGAGCCGCGTTCAGGCGCCCAGTCAGCCACCAAGGCCGGCCATTGTAGTCCTACTCATGTCCATGATCAATGAGAAGCAGCTGCTGGCGCTGCGCTGTGCGGTGCTCTATTGCTTCGAGTGTTATCTCTATCGCAACTCGGACGGTCAGCGTGCAGTGGTGCAGACGCTGCTGCCATCCAGTGCCACCGACGTGAGCTCGCTCTCCACCGGACAGCTGCTGTGCACAGGTCTCTTCTCGACAGACACGCTGGCCAATTGGTTCGCTGCCGTGGCCCTGATGCATACGCTCGTCGAGAACGTTGCCCAGAAGGAGGAGCTGCTGCGAGTGCTCCTGGCCACGCCTGGCGGACAGCGACCCATCACACTTCTGGAGCAGTGCACAAGTCTGATGCAGCAGGAGCGCTTCCGCTTGCAGAGCAAGGTGGGTCTGCTCATGCTGCTCAGCGTTTGGCTGGCCCACTGTCCGGGTGCGGTCAAGGCCTTGCTGGAGACCCAAGGCACCATGGCCTATCTGACTGCCCAGCTGTGCGCCAATGAGCACGATGAACGTGAGTATCTGGTGCAGGGCATGTGCGCCTTTCTTATGGGCCTCTGCATACAATTCAACGACAATTCGCTGGCCAACCAGCGCCGGGAGGACATCAGCCAGCTGATCATCAAGCGCATCGGCCAGGAGACCTTCTGCAACAAGCTGAGCGAAGTGTCGCGCCACGAGGCCTACAGTCGGGCGTGCAAACAGGCACAGATACGAGCCAAGGGCGCCAGCGAGCTGCTGCTCGATTACGAGTACTGCAAGCTGTACAAGGGTCTGGAGGCGTTGATAGCCAAGCTGGTCAGCGGCTTCGATGTGGATGGCATTGATCTAACCGAGCTCACTCTCAGCTCAGAGGCCTCCGCTCTGGTGGCCCAATATAAGGGCATCATACGCGGCATGGACGCGCAAATACAGACTCTGGAGCAGTCCACCAAGCAGCTGGAGCAAGAGAACGTTGAGCTAAAGGATCAGCTGAGCCACGAGCAATCACTCAGGGCCCAGCTGGCCGATCAGAATACGCTGCTCAAAGCACAGCTGGCGGCGCAACCAACAGCAGCTGCAGCTACAGCTTCAACTCCAACAACAACTCCAATTGCCACGGCAACCGCGGAGCAGCAGACCACAGAAACTGTCAACGATGAGCAGCTGAATGCAGCTCGGTATCAAGCGAACATGTATTTTGCGGAGAACATACGATTGACCAAGGAGCTGGAGACACTGCGTCAGCAATTGACAGCGGAGAAACAGCGAGCGGATGCTGCGCAGGAATCTTTGCTAGCTACACAAAAGGATCAGGAAGATTTGCTCGAGCTCCTCGCCGATCAGGAGGCCAAACTGGCGCGCTACGAGTCGCCGACGAATGCAGTCAACGACACAAACGGCAGATAACTTGTAGCAAGTGGATCTTTCGATGCGAATGTGGATCGTATTAGCCCAGCATTGTATGTGTTCTACAAGGATGTGGACTGTATTAACATGCACACACACACACACGCACTCGCAGACGCTGCTGTGTGTGTGTGTGTGGATAGCTCGACTCAATGCCAACTGCCCCTCCCCTTATGCATTCTTATTGTTTTTACATATATACATACCATATATACATAGATAAACTCACACACACATACATATATGATTAAACACATAAATATATAACTATAACTAATGTATTTGATTTGTTTCACAAATTAGACGAGTCCTCTATGTGTATGCTCCCATCAAATGTGAAATAAATAGTGAATACATTATTATACAAGTATACATAAACAATTCTAGTTTTACTTTCAACTCATTATAGATGATCTAAGGTAAAAGGATTTTAAGATCCAGCCATATAGTCACGTTAATCATGGACCCATTTCATGATCAATGCCAGGTTTCTAATCAATTGTCCTCAAGTATTCCTTCAGTTTTATACAAATTATTAAACAATGTTTCTTCTCCCTTACTCCTGCTCTCTCTCTCCCCCTCTAAGTCATTTTCGATTCAAAAATTTGACTAAGGTCAATCTCAGAACAATCTTAAAATGTGGCTTATAAAACTTTAGCCTCATGACAAGCAATTCACAAAAGGTTGGAATTTAAATACAGTTCTATTATGATTCACTAAGCCAGTTTATCTCCAATTAACTTGGGATACTTATATTATAATTCAGTCATGATTTGGGTTTTGGGAATCCTTTAACTAGGTCTTGGAATACTATAGGGTAGTTAGCTCATACATATATAAAAAAAAAAAGTTGTTTAGCTATATCCTCACATTGCCAAATCAAAATATAGATAGATATGGATATACTTGGGATAGACCCTGAAACACCATTAGCATTATGACACTATGCCACATAAAATTACTATAGAGCTCCCATATTTCTTAAGCGGCACTTTAGTAACTCGATATTTAGATCTATCCATACAACTACACTTTGAGAATTTCTGGAAACGATCTCCTCACAATCCATAGAAGAGTAACCAACATTCACTTGAGCACATTTTTGATGGGTTTTGTCTTTTAGGTTAGCGCACAGGTATAGTTCACAAGAAAAAAAAGGTGTGTTAACTTAGGTATATCTTTTGACCATTCACATTTATTAACGAGATGGCTACAAAATTTGTTTCTTATTTTCGTGGATAGATGTATGTAGATGGTTGGTTAGCAATTGTTGGCCACTTCACATTTACTTCTTGTCACTTGAAACAGAGCTCTTGGATTCACGGATCGAGGCGGAACGGCGACGCTTGGCCTCCTCACGCTTGGCCTTCGACTCCTTCTTGCGCTGCACCAGGAGCTTGGCATAATCAGCGGCAGCTTCCTTGGAAGCTTGCTGGCGCTTCTTCTTCAATGCAATGCGTCTGTGTTTGCGCTGCAGGACCACTGGGGTGATCAGACGCTGAATTTTAGGTGCCTTGGAGGTGGCCTTCTTGCCCTCCTTGGCGGGCAATGGGCGACGCACAACGTAGGGACGAACATCATCCTCCTTGGACAAGTTGTACAGCTTGCGGATCTTGCTGGCACGCTTGGGTCCCAGACGACGTGGAATCGTGGTGTCTGTAAGACCGGCAATATCTTGCTCGCCCTTCTTGATGACAACGAGCGCCAACACGGACATGTTGGAGTCTACAATGCAGCCGCGCACAGACTTACGCTTGCGCTCGCCAGTGCGGCGTGGGCGGTAGCAGGAGTGTCCCTTCTTCAACAGAAGACGCACACGACCTATAAAGTGGCAAGTAATTCAGTTGTAATTAACTATTTCTTATTCATATACCGATTCGATTGATTTACTCACCGTGCGAGAGAACACCTTGCTTCATGGGGAAGCCCTGCTTGTCGTTGCCGCCAGAGATACGCAGCTGATAGCCCTTCCATTCATCACCCAGAATATCGGCCTCCACAACTTGGCCCATACGCTTCTCGTAGAACACACGTAGTTTGTGCTCATCGACAACCTCGAACAGCTTTTGGCATCCCGTTGCGGGATAAGAAACGTTGAGCTGCAAGTAAACACATACATTTGTTGTTTAGTTCACGTACACATCTATATACACAAATTTGCCGCAATCGTTATCTTCCATTTTAAGGGCAATCACTTTAGTTTTTCAAGTTACACTTAATTTTTGCACAAGTTGAATATTAATGCTAGCTGTTTTTAGCAATATTTCTTTATGTTTACAGCGTTTCTTATATTATTTTTCACAAAATTGTTGCACACCTTCATTATGTTGGTCTTGCTGCAATCAACACAGAAAAAAAAAGAAACGCTCTTGTCAAATCCCAACTAGGTAAGGGAAAGGAAATAGGGATGCAGCAACCAAACTTATATCGAAATAATCGATATGATGAAAACAAGCTATCGATGATTTAAATACGTTTTAAAGGCCGAATGCTGAATCGAAATTATGCACACAAAATTAAATTATAGACTGGTCAAATGAACTTCAATTCTTAATGGAAAAAGTTCTAAATACAGAGTATTTTTAAAAATTTAGCCAATTCAATCGCTCATCCCTAATAATCTACGTTCATCGATATTTCCCAATGCAAACATACCCATAACAGCTGTCAAAGAATGGAGTGACCATGATGCTAAATTGGAAAACAGGGTGCCTCCAGACGATAAACAACGATTACAACACGTGTTGTGCTTGAGTTTGTTATTAAAAAGTTGATTTTAAGAGTGCACCAAGATGGGTAAACCAAAGAAGGCTAATGTGGCCACAATAAAAAATGTGAGCCTGGAAAAGCAAATCACAGATGGCAAAGTATTGAAAGCTAAATCCAAGGAAAAAGTTAAGCTACGTGCAGAAGAGTCACCGGTAGGTACATCCTTGATTGATATTATTCCATATTTAATACAGGTGCTTTATTGATTGACAGAATATTGATGCGAAAAGCAGTCAAAAAATATTAGCAGCAGCTAGACAACAGCAACTGGAGCTCGACGAGGAGAACTTTCCAAGCTTAACAGCACCAAGGACTGTGAAACTTAACTTGAGTATGTAAACTAATATACAATAAATCAATTTATTTTTAACACCATAAAAACCTTTAGACGATGGCATGGACCAGGACGAACAGGAAGATGTTAACGAAAACGATTTCATGGCTGACTTGGGTATGGACGAAGACGATGTTGCTGCTTTTGAACGCTTCCAACAGCCACCCGCAAAGGAAGGTAAACGAACTTTGCATCTGTCCGAGATTATAATGCAAAAGATTCAGGAGAAGGGTGCCGATATACACACCAAAATCTCGGATGAGGGTTCACTGAGAATTGAAGAAATCGATCCGAAGGTAAAGGAAATGTATGAAGGAGTCCGAGAGGTGCTCAAACGCTATCGCAGTGGCAAAATACCGAAGGCCTTTAAAATTATACCCAAACTAAGGAACTGGGAACAAATATTGTTCATAACGGAGCCACACAATTGGAGTGCTGCTGCCATGTTCCAAGGTACTCGCATCTTCTGTTCGGTGCTCTCCCAGGCGATGGCTCAGCGTTTCTATAATTTGGTTTTATTGCCACGCATTCGTGACGATCTTTGCGAATACAAGAAGCTCAATATGCATTTGTACAATGCCCTTAAGCGTGCACTCTTTAAGCCGGCTGCCTTCATGAAGGGTATCATATTGCCATTGCTGGAGTCGGGCGACTGCACCTTGAGGGAGGCAATTATATTTGGCAGCGTCGTGGCTCGAAGCTCCATACCTGTGCTGCACTCGTCTGCATGTCTGCTGAAGATCTGTGAGATGAACTATTCAGGTGCCAATTCGATATTTATTCGTTATTTCTTGGACAAACGTTATGCACTGCCATATCGTGTTATAGATGCGGCTGTCTTTCATTTTCTGAGGTAAGCAGTAAGCGAATGGTCTCAGAAATATCCATTTTCAATAACTTTTTCTACCTCTACAGATTTGAACAAGATAAACGCGAATTGCCTGTACTATGGCATCAAAGCCTGCTGACTTTTGCGCAACGTTATAAGAATGATATTTCATCCGAGCAAAAGGAGGCGCTGCTGCAGCTTTTAAAGTAAATATTGTCAATTTTAAAGGTTATCGAATCTAGTATCCAAATGTATCTAACGCTTTTTAATTGCAGAAAGAAATCTCATCCGAAGATCACACCGGATATTCGACGCGAATTGCAAGCGGCACAATGCCGTGATGTTGAAATGATGGAGACAATGAACGAAACAGCTGGTCAGCCCATTAAGATGTACACAGATGAAGATGTTGGCTATACGGGCTAAGAAAGCATACTATATAGGCATTATTTTTAGTTCATAGTTTTTGAATTATTTTATATTTTGAAAAGAATCAAAAGCATTGATTATGTTTATGTAAATATATGGTATATACATACACACGCGTGACTGAAATTTACAATTCATGAATTCTTTAAAAAGACCATTTGAATTTTGATAGATTTAATATGCGGCGCATTTTAATACACTTATCGACTAGTCGCTACGGTTATCGATTCATACGCAACATAGCACATGGAGCTTTCGATTGTCAACCATCTTATCGATACATCTTGAAGCTAGTTTTCGAAAAGAAATTAAATATTGACAGCACATGAGGTACCACCGATTGCTTATTTTCTAATTGAATTTCATATCGATAGTTAGAGCGTTAAGGAGCACTTGTCAGATACAATAAGTAAATCAGCTGTTGGCTTTTGTCGGTTATCACAAAAGAAGAAATAACATTAAAAATTAATTTAAGTTAACATTTTGAGAGTAACTACAAATTTCATTCAACAAATGGATTCGAACTTGCGTAACGTATGCTTGACCTACCTAACTGCAACATGTTTAATTCATAAATGTTTATATGCACTCAATTGCAGCTGAAAGATTTTCTTACATTATACAACAAAGTCACTGAATTGTGCTTCAATCGCTGCGTCGATAATCTCAGCCAACGTGAACTGTTCGATCAGGAGGTAAACAAGCATAATTAACTATTTCTCCAATATTGATAAAATATTACTTCGTATAAACAGAGCACCTGCGTGGATCGATGTGTAACAAAGTTTGCACGCTTTAATCAAAATATGATGAAATCCTATGTGGATGTGCAAACGAAAATCAATGCCAAGCGGATGGAAGAAATGGAGCAACAGAACGCCAAACAATTGGAGCAACAGCAACAGGAGGAACGCATCAAAGCGCAGCTTAAGGAAAAAGAAGCCTCTGTCGCTGTACTAACGCCAGCTGCATCGACGGCTAAATTGGCCATGTAGCAGCAGCAGCACCATGTGGATTGGAATGCCATGCCCCAGCTTTTATTTACAATACTAGACAGTTAAGCAGCAACAACAACAATCACACATTCATACAAACACACACATATATATATAGTTGTACACTATAGAAATGCCGCGTATTTGTCTGCTTGCTTTGATCGGCCTGCCGGGTGCTGGCAAAACTACTCTTAGCAAGTGGCTAATGCAGCAGCAGCCAGACTTACTGACTGGCTGGCATGTGTTGCATTTGTGCTACGATGATTACTTCGATATACAACCTACAAACAAGATAGAATACAAAGAGCAACGACAATTTATATACAATTTGCTGGAGCAACTCATTGTGGCTCTACAAGCAGGCAAGGCCGAGCTGCCAGGACGGGTACAAGGATCAGCGGCAACAACTAACAGCTGCAATCATCTAATAATATGCGATGATAATCACTATTATCGCAGTATGCGCTATAAACTGTATCAACTAAGTCGCAATCGGAATTGCCTATATGCCCAACTTCATCTGGCTAGCAGCTTGGATGACTCTCTGCTTGCAAACGCGAAGCGTGGAGCCAATGGAGCATTGCCACCAGCGGTAGTACAACAAATGGGAATGAGGCTCGAGCCACCAAGTGAAACTTTGGCTTGGGAGCAACTTACATTAACACTTAATAGCACAATAGATTTTAATGCAGTAGCGGAAATAATTCACAACTTTTTACAAACTTTACTCAATAGCCCATTAATTGTTACGCCTGCTCAGCAGGAAAAGCAACCGCAATTGCAATCGCTGACCCATCAATTGGATTTAAAGTTGCGTGCGCGCATTCAGAATCAAATGAAGTTCAACAAAGTCGAAGAAACGCAACAGCAGCCAGAGCTACGTCTACGAAGTCGTGCCCTAAACGAACAACGCAAACAGATTTTAACACAATTTCGTTTTGATATGCGCAACGGGCTGATGGAATTTTCTAATGATAAATTGGAATACTATGTTAATATGTTAAAGTAATCTAATGAAATAAGCGTTAACTGTTTAAACATTGTACATATAAACATAATTGCTATAGTCTAGTACATTAAACAACAAACAAACCAAATGATCAGAAATTTACTTTAAACTTTAACATACCTATCTCTTTCTATATCATTTTGTTGCTCCTTCCTTCTTATATTTACCTTATATACATCTCTCTCTCTCTCTCTCTCTCTCTCTTTCCAACATACATACATTTGTATGCACTTAGCCATTCTCTATATATCCCTATATAGAACGATACCTATATTCCTGCACAAAGCATTTTCCAATAATAATCTTGTTTCCTTCTATCTCCAGTATTACTTAAAGTGCTTATTCTGATGCCATTATGATCCTTACAAAGGCAAGAATATACTTATGTACACATCCCTATTGTATATACTGTACACAAGAACTCGCATATAAAACTAGATTTATTTATGAAAAGTAAATTTTAACCTATGATCTATACATATATATATTCATATATTTGACGTTTAAACCACCTTCACTTGACTAAGATCGCGCTTTTCGATCATGCGCATCTGCTTCTTCTTCATGCGCTTCAGCTTAGCAGGATTCTTGATCACTTGCACGACCTCTGATCGTCGCTCGTTGGCCAAACGTCGCTCGGCATTCTCGACGCGTCGCTGATGACGTTGCACGGCGGCTTCCTTGCGCTGATCCTTGATCTCCTTGGACTTCTCTTTGATGTAACGCATCTCATTGCGTAGGGCGACTTTCTTCTCAAATGATAAACGATTCACCGTTTTCTTAATGCTGCTGAATCTGTGAATAAAGATTAGTCTGTGAGTATGTGATGCATTTGTGTTGTTTGAATTCTTCTACTTTTGCTTGGGTGTCTTCCAGGGCCGATTAGATTTTGGCTGTCCGCGGGGTATTTTGGATTCGGGTTTGACCACCTTTTTGGGTTTTGTTTTGGGTTTGGGTTCGGCTTTGGCTATAGGCTCAGCATTTGGTTGTATTTTGGGACTTGAAGTATTACTGTCCGGAGAGTCAGGCCCATCGACCACAATTGGCTTGGGCTTAGGTT